TTTTACTGGTAGGAGGGAAGCTAGAATGACTTTTTTCTCCTGTTTCACTCAAATCTTTCTGTGCACAATTGACTTCCAATCTGGCAGATAATGCCCTGAATGACAGCTACATTCATTCCTGGACTATGATTTATATGAAAGTTCACTTGCCTGAATTCAAAAGTAATTTCATAAGAAATGCTGAGCAGCCTTATACCTGTGTACCGGGCAGTCGTCTCTGGAAAGCTAAGAAGAACACCTCAGAAATAAAGCCGCATTATTGGAATTAATGATTGAAAATTTTTAGGTATACACTAAGTTTTCAGTTCCCTAAGGCCTATTAGTTTTCCTGATTCTCCCTGATATCCGCTATGAAGAAGAACTGTGCTAGGGACAATGGCAGACTCCGTAGATGAATAAAATGTAGCTTAGGAACTTAGAATTAGCAACGACACACAGGTAGTCAACTTCGTACGCTAGAGGGCAGGTGATGATAGTTGCCTGTGTCAAGTTGGGAGGCCCTGGGTTCCCCCAAACCTGCACATTCCCAGAGGAGATCTACTTTCAGGACTGGACTTTAGCTGACTCCTAGGAGCTGAGCACCGAGCCCTCGGCATGTTTAGCCTGGGAGGAATGCCTTTGTAGGCCAGAAGTCTTGGCTCTTGTTAAACCAGATAATTACTCAAAGGACGCGACTTGTCATAAACACCCACTTTTGGGGTGTGTGTGGACTAGAGAGTGGGTAGCTGAGGTCGGTCCTGTGGGTATTACGTGCCTGCGTGACTGACCTCTGATAAAACTCTGGGTGCTCTGTCTTCTCTGGTCAGCAGCACTCAGCATGTGATGTCACTGATCACTGCTGTAGAATTAAGTGCACCCAGTGCAACTCCCCTGGGCAGCCTGAAGATCGCCCTTATTTCTCCTTGATTTCACCCACTTAGGGGAAAGATCATCCTTTGCTGGTCTTAATTTATAGCCTTTTGCTGTGATAAATCATAACTGTGACAGGTGGCTCCTGTGTCCTGTGCATCCTCTCAGCACATCATTGAGCCCGGGGTTGGTCCGGAGACCCCAGTGCAAGGTGCTATACAGGAAAAACCAATCCGGGAGCACAGTGGCTATGTGGCTATGTCCTTTCTGATACACTGGTGCTAGTTTCAACTTGCTGGGTTTATCCGTGTTGTCTGGGGGGCTTTGTATGTTTCTGCCTTTGTTTTTTTAAGTTTCTTGATTTTTGTGTATCTCAAAACATTCATAACGACCCACGTCCATTTTGGACAGTTTCAATAGAAAGTCTCTTAAAATGTGGCTTCAATTTCTATTCCCAACTTCACATCTGGCGACTCCTCAGCACACACCTGTCACAACTGTTTCACATTCCCTGTGTCTTGGGGGACACGTTCAGATCGCCACTCAGAATCTTCCATTTGCTCTGAATGTCCTGTCTTCAGTCCTTTAGGGTTCCGTTCCTTCACTTGATTAAATGACTTCTACCCCCAAAGCTGTGCTCATATCTTTTCCCCCTGTAAGTGGCCCCACATGGCACTAGGCATCAATGAACACCCCCTTCCCAGGGCCCTATCTCGCTGGTCCGTGCAGAATCTCATGTAGCAAACATGGTGTTGCTTTGTTTGATTTTGATGTGTCTGTTTCCTCTCTAGTCTGTGAGTTTCTAAGTGCCAGGCTGAATGCCACTCAGATCTCTATTCCGACTGTGTGGCACGGTGTCCAACCACTCAGTTGTCACTAACACAGTTTTTATTAAACGAAGGCACATGAAACGCACCGGGCCCCAGGAAGATGCCAAGGAGAATGGTTTCATGGGGACCATTTACTGAGTCTTTGATTCTGGCCATGTGAGCTTTACCCAGGCCCCGTGAGGCTGGTACATAGCCACGGTAAGGGAAATCCTCCTGTCTTATTGTGTTCTGGAAATGGCTTACTGCAGGGAACTGCCCTTCCCCATATGACTTAGGGAAGACTCAGATAATCCCCTACTTTTGACCAGACTGGACACAGACCCTCCAAATTCCCATTTTTTTAACCTTACAAATGATCACCCAAACTGTACCGATGGGCCAATTGGAACAGCATGCTTGTTAACCAAACGGTAGCTAAGCTTCTCTTTTCTCTTTAGCCCACCCTATTCAGATCGGTTCCAGCCTTTACCAGCCCTCCTGCAGGGCCTCCTGAGGATGGGCCGACCTCAGCCTAAAACCTTCTCTGACTACTGTACCGTTTAGCCCCCTCCCTGGTACCTTTAATCTCCTCATTTCCACACAACTGGTTCTTTCTCTGTTTACTCTTCTTTCTACAAGAAACCCCTTTGTGCCTAGGCCTCGACACATGGGCAGGTCTCGTGTTCAAAGTGTTCTTGGTATTACAATAGTTCCATCCTCTGTGGAAATAGTCAACCCCAAACACTGCAATAATCCTTTTACATAAAGTCTCTCCTTACTAATATTCAGAATTTGTTTTCATTTGATACCACATAATACTCCCTGACTGACTGGAGAATTCTTTGTACATTAGCATGTTCATGCATCCTTATTGATGAATAAAATAAAGTGCCTGTGGTTCTCAGTGCCTTGCTTATATACATCCTAGTCATTCAATTCCTAAATCCAAAGAGCATCCATCCATGTGCCTCTTTAAAGGGCATACCTTCATTTAACTCCCCGAGGAGGTTACTTGAGTCAAGGTTGGTTTGTCCCCAGGTATGTAAGGTCCTTGCGCATCTAGTGTCTCTTTCTCCCAGCTACTGACTTAATGTAAAGGGCACAACCCATGGGCCTCAGGTGGGGGGTACTTGGTTTTCAGGCTCTCACTGGGATTCTCTAGACTAGAGGCCTCAGGCTCCACCTCCTTTACTCTGACACCGCACCTGTCTCAGGTCCTGTCTCTTCAACGCATTTTTTTGCACCTGTTGTCCTCAACCCATGATGATTTTGCCCCTTATGTGACACTTGGTAATGTTGGGAGCTGTTTTGGTTGTCACATGGGGAGGAGCCAATAAGGGCATCTAGTGGGTAGAGGCCAAGGATACTGCAAGCATCTTACAAGTCACAGGACAGCTCCCTGCAACAGAGAATTACCTGATCCTAAACATCAATAATGCCAAGATTGAGAAACAGTGGTTTACAAGGACATGCCTGGTTTCAACAAACTTAACCAAAGAAAATTTACTTATTCAAAACCTGAAAGACGGGTAGCTAAACCCTCTGAGGGATAGATCTGTCTTCCTATGATCACATCACAGCCATTTTTTCTATCAGGTGCTTAAAGCTCTTAGAGAAAAAAAAGATCAATGATTTGGCAACAGAAATTTATTGATTAGTTTGCAACATTAGGTACAACATAGATAACTTCATCACATGGTCACAACACAGTATTTGTGCTTTGTAAATAAGTAAACATTTATTTGAGCACAAGAAAGGTCTAAACACAATATACTGGGATTGTTTAAAAAATAAATATATCCTTTTTCATTTTGTTAAGCACAAAGAAGCGTATTTCAGTTTGAGATGATAGATATATTTTAAAATTTGACATTTTGTTAATGTGCCAAATTAAACATACTGCCTACATGTGAACTATTTGTATAATAAATGCTTAATGAGCACTGGGAAAGGTTCCTGCAAGGGGTGGCTGAGGGGGGAAGGAAAGAGAGAGAAGCTTTCCTGGTGTTTCAAGATTTGGATGGTAGATCACATGAGGCCAGCACTGATTTGTTCACATTTAAAATTACCTCACAATCTTTAAAAATAGAGCAAAAGTATAGGATTTCTGGAAATCCTTAATAGACACATCTTTGATCAAGAAATTAAAAGTCAGTGTAGTCCATTTACTTGGAAGGAAGACTTACTAGGGTACGTTAGATACCTTTATTTTCCAAAAGAGTAAATCTCTATTATTGAAATACTTAAAACATGATGAAGTCTTCTTCCCCCAAGACGAAGGCTAATATCTTCAAATCAGGGACGGTGTGGGATCCTTACTGGCCATGTCAAACAAGCCTGTTCCCCTGTCTCTGCCTTTTAGCATCATTGGAATAGCGCGTCTGCTATACCAGAACCAACACGTTCGTAGTGAAACAAACCTCTGAGCTCAGCGTCAATACATGACTCTAGGCAACAGTTTCTTCATATTTTATGAAGCTCCAAGCAAACTCAATATATTATTTAAGATAGCAATCTCTTCATAATTTACAATAAAATAAAGTAAAAGTTTCTATTTTATATACTTCAATACACAAGCAGATTTAATCTCAAAATACTTTTTTTTTTTTAAAGTAAGAAAGCTTTCTTCAGGGTAAGAATTCTGTAATCACCTTATCCAAGTTATGTGGTGATGGAAACAAGACAATCTTTAATATTCTTCTCATTCGTTGAATGCTAACAGCTTCTCGGCTAGCCAAGAGCTGGATATTGTTGGGCAGAAGTGAGCTATTTATCAGAGGATTGCAGCAAATAAGTGAAATCACCTCAGTTGAGGACGTGGATATACCTTTATCAATATCCGCTGAGACTGGTCTAAAGTGGAAATCTTTTATATGAAGGCCTGGGAATTTCTTACTGATATCTGTAGTGTTTCTCTGGGCTAGCATGCCCTTCATATACTCAGAAAAGTAAAATACAGGTTACAGGATAATTTGGAGGGTCTGTGTCCAGTTGTTTCCAGTTAATTTACCTAGCTGGAGACATTGTAGATCATTTCATATGATTAGACATACATGAGTGTAGCTTTTCGGGGGTTTAGATCTCATAATGAGGTTTCTCTTCATCCTGCCTTTCTAATCCAAGCTCTTTGGGACTCACCCACAGGTTGTACGGATTTGGATGGACCTATATTTTGCTTTTCCTTAGATTTAGTCCATGTGCAGTGAACTTGAGTAGCAGATTTTTTTTTTTTTTAGCTCTGCTAACATGATGTGATGTTTTGAGAACATTTAGAGCATTGAGAACAAACCACTGTAATGTAAGCTGGAGGAAAGGGAAGGACAGCTCCGTAGGTAGCCTGTCTTATCCCAGTTCCAAGAGCCAGTCAAAGAGACTCAGGTGCCCATCCTTCTGTTCCTCATGCATTTTGCAGTACTGGACAACTGCGTGAAAGATATCCCCCACCTTCCAGGACTTCTGATGAACCAGCCGCACAACGTCTAGAAACTAAAATAAAATACAGGGTTAGGATTCACGGATCACAGATGTCATCATGATGATCTCATCTCATTAGATCTTGCTTCCAAAGCCAAAGGCTGTCTCTAGTCTGTGTTTGACTAGACATCCCCTAGTGCCAGGGGATTATTTCCAGAAGACTCTGTTTTCCTTTGAGATGTTTCAGATTATTAAGGAGTTCCTTCCATTGAACTAGAATTTTCTTAACAGAAATTATGATTCCAGAGGACTAAATGGAATGAAAGTAATTCTTTCCAGAGTTGGTCTTTTTTAGTGTTTTCTTGGGTCTGCTTTTCATAGCTCATGGATTTCAATCCCTTCTGTCTCTATCACAAATAATACCACAGTGGATGTGTGTATTTAGGCCAAATAAATCAAGTGCTAAAACTTTAGGTAGGGCCCCCTACCGGTTCCCCATTCCATCTTGAGACACTCCCCCCTCACCCTCCATGCTAAGATCGAGCATCAGGTGAGGCTGGCTTTCCATAGCGATGGGAAAGAAAGGGGAAACACCCCGGATCTGTCACCTAGTTACTGACACCAGCTTCAACTGGCTACAACCCTCAGAGAAAGTTCTGGACTGCAAGTGAATTGTGAGCTTTGAGGAAGAGAAGAGAGGGAGCATCACTGTATAGATTATTCTCATCCTGAAGCTGTGGTGAAGAGCAGGATGAAGGCCTCTCCAACTCCTTCCTTTCTAAGGAAAGTACAACCAGTAAGACCCAGAGACTGTTGGAAATTCTTCGACACAGGGAATCTTATTCAATTCTGTCACAACCCCAGGGAGTGGGCATTTTCAGAAGAAAAAGTCAAGGGCTTGAGAGATGATGAACTAACATCAGGACCAGTGTCCTAGCACTCCAGGCTAGTGCACTTTCTACTACGAGACCTTTCTACATTTTGGTGTCAGGAGAATATAGAATTAAAATTTATTTGGAACACTGAGAGAGGAGGATGGGCTGGGAATCTGGTATCATTTTATGAGGAAGAAAGCCTTATTTGTTAAAAAGATGAGATTGTGGGGCAGTGCCTGTGGCTCAAGGAGTAGGGTGCTGGACTCATATACTGGAGGTGGTGGGTTCAAACCTGCCCCCAGGTCAAAAAAGCTGAAAAAAAAAGAGATGAGATTATGGTTTGGTTAAGATTCCTTCAATGTTTCCATCTTGGATTTTTGCAAATACTTTAAGATTCTTTTTCCTTTTAAATCAAATGTTCTTATTCCATTTGTTTGCTCAGACTTTAGAGATCAGCCAGAAACTGGAATGCTAATGTCTCTCCAGTTCGAATTTGTTAATTCATTTCAATTACTGAGAAGTTGTCTCGCGGAGAGCCACTGTTAAATCATGTTCCTTCTCTCAGCTGTGATGGTACCAACTGTTTGCACAATTACAGAAATCAGTGCTTTATTGTACTCACTTGCCTTGTATTGACTTAATCAAAATGAAGTAATTTTCTAGGCTGGAAAATGACATACTTAACTTTTAATACCTAGAAACATAAACATTGTCTTTAAGAGTTTTAGGATGTTGTGAAAAGGGAGCCAGATGGGAGGCAGATGGCGACCATAGATAGTAACTCAGGGGAAGGACAACATCTCAGCCATCTTTTCATATCTTGTGCCTGAACAGAGTAAGTGCTCAATGAATATTTGCTGAATGACAGAATGGCTGGAAGGCCAAATGTGTGTCAAGTACATTCAAAGTTCTCAAGAAGCCTCTCTGAAGTATGAATGGACATCTAGTTTCAATGAGGATAAACCATCACTAAGTATTCATTTTTTAGTTTTAGGTTCTGTTTTTGCACATATACTATTTAAAAACAAGTTTGCATATCTTAGGGATGTTTGTTCAATCATCTTCTATTAATGGGTTGCTCTGCAAAAATGTTTGGAGGTTATGGATTGAGGAAAAGGATGAACAGGGCCTGGGGTGAAAAAAGGAAGCAGGGAAGGGGCAAAGTAAAAGCTATTCCTGGGCACATCCCTCATCACAGGGCAATAGAGAGTGGGCATGTACATCAGGCGGATGACACACCAGGGACCTCTTCACTGCTCACGACCACTGCCATCAATCCAGGGTCAGTTCATTCACTTCCATCATCAGTGTTAGAATTTCAGAGAAACTATTACTTGCCTGGGACCCCTTATCATTCTGTCTTTATTCCCAACTTCATTGGGGGGAGGGGAGAATAAAACCTGGGGGGCAAATGTCACTATTTGGCAAACTCTTCTAAGCCTCAGGTCTTTCTGGAAGCCCATCACCAGCTTTTTTGTCTATCTATGATGACCACAGGATGGTGCCAGTTGACCCAAAGTTGTCAAAAATTCCCACTAGGTAGGCTACTGTTCCAGGACTTTGTGGTATAATCACAAGCAAGGATCTGTCACAGTCTCTAACTCCAGGCTGATAGTTCCATGAAGTGACATTTAAAAATGTTCTGGCCCACTAAACAATACAGCCTTCTCTGAGGCTGTAATGACTTGATCTTGGATATTGAGACCTTGAAACATCTTTGAGGACGCTGAGCAAAAAGATTTCAGGGTTTCTTTTCTTCTTTCATTAAAAAGAATAGATAAAAAATGAAAAAAGATTGAGAAAAATCCAGAAAAGGACATTTCCAGTTCCTCACTATACATAGAAATGAAAAAAGATGGTGAAGAAGCCAGAAAAGAACTTCTTAAAGCTACATTTCCATTAACATCTGACCCCAGAGCTATTATCTTGGTATTTGCACAATCAGCTTAAGCATGGTAGGGATCTATGTTTTTCTTGTTGTTGCATTGACAAATATCAAAAAATTTCATTTTGATAAAATGTTTTTATCATTGATTGTCACAATCAATAATAACTAGGTGCCATTTCTGTAGATAACAGTTGGCATTTCTTTGAACAAATGTCTTATCTTAGGAAACTAGAAAAACTTATGTTCTGTGATGATATATTACCTGCAGACTCAATTGAAGAAAAGCATCACCTGGCAGACAAGTTTTATATCCCCAGGTGCATTTAATAAATTAGGTTGTTTACAAAATTATATCATGGAATCTATAGGAGATAGTGTAAGCTGTGACATTTTTGGAAACAGTCAACTTAGATTTCCGAAAACCACTATCTCCTTTCTCTCTAAGACGGAATTAGATGTCATTAAAATGAATTGGTTCTATTGCGCTCTGGCAATTATGGCCTATAGAGTCATGATTCTTAACCTTGGCTGTAGCCTGGAATCTCCAGCACCTTTATAAAAGCCTGATGCCTGGGTCTCATTCTCAGAGGAGATTCTGATATAATTGGTTGGAGCATCAGAGTTTGTAAAGGTTCCCCAGGTGATTGTAACACACACTCAATTTAAGAATCCTGACTCAGCTCAAGACTCTAATGTTTACAAGTGAAGAGTGTTAGTATCTAATTCTTCTTAATTTCCCCCTTTCTTTCTGATGTATTCCTTTGAAACTGATACTTTAACCCCAAATATTTTTGGAAACTGAAGCTGCATTTCACTACCATCAACATTTTTCTTTCTCATTCTCTTTTCCCTACTCTGCATGGGGAATGGCGTAAGAGTTGGGAGGGGAGACTTCTCTCTCCTGACCTCACTGTCTTAGGAAGGTCAGTGTACGTGTTCCCTGTCTCGGCACATTTCTTTCTACGCACTGTCTCCATAAAAAGAAGTAATTTCCGCTGCAGCTTCAAACCTGAGAAGGGCACCAATTTACCGTGAGAGGCCAGTCACAGCTACCCCAGCTCACAGAGCCTCCTGGAATTTAAACAGAGGAGAAAGAGCTGGAGTGCAATGATTTTTGGATCTAAAAACTAGGACAAATGGCCATTTATGTGCCTTTTTTTAAACCAACTTCTCTCATTTTATATGTATTTTATTTTATTTTTGCCTTTTAAATTAGTTTAAATTTCACTGATGTCAAGCCCTACAAACTGTTTTACTCATTGGATGTTAGGATCATCATTAGTCTTTCTCCTGGAATTTAGCATTCTTTAAGGCCACCTCAAATTACGTTACTCCTTGATGATTTTTCTTCTGGAAGGAGAGCTCCAGCTTTAGTGCTCATCAGTATCACTTGTTAAGAATGAATATTTCCAGGCCTATTCTGAGAGAGAAAGTGATCACTTCCTAGCTGAGGCTTAGGAATCTGAATTGTGAATAGGGTCCCAAGTGATCGCGTTTCATGCCCATTTGGCTCCTGGGCACAGTTTGAGGAATCCTGTTTTCTCTGTGTTTCTCATCTCCCTTGCCTAGAGCAGGTTCTCATCGCATCTCAACATTACTATTTGTAGCCTGAGCCTCTGTTGCTTTATGTTCTCCTTGCCTTGGGGTTATCCTAAACTAGAATGTAAATTCCAAGAGGGTAGGACATTTTGTCTCTTCTGCTCACTGTACCTCTAGAGCTGGGATAGTGCCTGCCACATTGTGGTTGCTCAGTTGACTTTTGATGAATGTCTCGAATGCTTGACTTTAAGTGCACTTAACATCTTAATGATTAGACACAACCCAAATGGAAGGAAAAACTTGAAAACTCCAAGGTTGGAAATTCCAAATTTCAAATATTCTGGGTGTCCAATGTGCTGTCCCTCCAACCTTTTGAGTTGAACTAAGACTAGAATTAGTTGTAAGTTGCCTTCAAGGGCCCTACAACTCTGAGGCCAAGTTCACAGGCAGTGGTGGGAAGATGGCCTTCCTCAGGATAAGCTCACAGCACCCTCTTCTCCTTTACAACAAGCCTCCATTTTCTCAAGGCAGGAAGGTTAGTAAGTTGGGAATACGATATAGGGAAACACGTTGACTAAATTAACTTGTCCAAAAGAATTTCAGGATTCACAGAAATGGAAACTCAGGGTATTTATCTGTATATGTTGTTCAAGGTCCGAATGACATTTTCTGAACTTAACGGAGACATTTCTTTAACCTTCTCCAAGCTGATGAGGAGCTAAGAAGACACCGCTGCTCTCATGTGACATAGCCTCTGTGGGAAGACTCTTTTTGACACCACTTGACAATGGCCCTTTAACTACCTGGCTAATTTAAAAACAACCCAAATGAGGTTCTCAGAAGCACTCTTGATAGAAGAAGGACTATCAGAATGTTGCTTAAAGGCTTTATTTCACCATCTTAGTCACAGAGAACAAATGGTGCCCATTTATGGAAAAGCCATTATTTGCAAAAAGGATTTAACTGACTCTGAGAAAAAAGAGACACCCTCACCCCCGCAAAATTCCATATTTAGAATTAAGGTCCTTGAGGTGATGCTAATTGGTTGAGCAAAACATCATCTTATGTCATTCTTGATAACATTAGTGGAATGTTTATTTTCTCAGAAAAATAGTTATATGCAAAGACAAGCCTTCTTTTTGAGAACTGAAAATCTGGGAGAGATAAATATCAAGTCAGGGCCTGATTTACATAATCAAAGTGTGAGTGCAATACCCCTGTACCTAATGGGAACTTATGAGACATAGAGTCATGTAACAGTATTGCTTCTTCAAAAAGGTGAATTGCGTAAAAATCTACTCCATTAAGACCATCTGAAACGTAGCAGGGGCAGTGGCTAGAGACGGAGTTGTCCTTCATTTTCCCATGACCTTGGACATCTATTCCTTTGCTTCTCCTCCCCCCACAGCAGGGGTCTTTGGGACAGCGTACCTCATGGGGTGAGGTCAAACGTGATTATGCCCTCTCTCCATTCTTTGTGTTGGGAAGCTGAGTGTTAAGAGGAGAATTCCTCAAAGAGTGAACCTCTCATCACCATACAAAGATATGAGTACAGGAAGGTACCCAGAATTGGCTGGGGTATAACAATAGGGAAGTTTAGGCATGAAAAGAGGTGTAAATTCCTGGATGGAGCAAGGTTGGTATGGGAGAGCATGAAAAATGGATTAGGACTCCATTTCAATTTTTCCTATAGTCCATCCCACTGGCTGGTGGTACTGAGAAGGGGAATCTGTTCTAATTACCATGAGCATGGCAAGAAGGTAAAGGACATTTCATAACAGGCCATTATTGTTTGGCACTGACAATTAAAATGCACTTACAAGTCCTAAAAAAATCCAGATCATAGCCTCAAGGTCATTCAATTTGAGAGAGACACTTCTTAACTGAGAAATGTAGAGAAAGAGACTACTCTCTGAGGAGTCTCCCAAGTGCCAGCCTCATTAGTAAAAAAGAGATAAGAATATCCATTCTGATTTTCTCAAAGGACTGCTGGGAATCAAGTATGAGGCATATGAAAAAATGTTCCCCTGGCTGTGATAGGCAGGATCCTGAAACAGCCTCCAAGATTTTCCAGCTAACCTCTGGGACCATGAATAGGATAAGCTATGTCCTTAATGTCCCACCTTACACGGGAAAAAGAGATTCAACAGTTAGCTATGAGTTTATCAAAAGAGGCTATCCAGTGTTCTTCATCTAAAGCTGAGTTTACTCTGGCTGGTGGCACAAACATTAGAGAGATTGACAGCAAGGGGCCCGTGGTGAGGAATGTGGGCAGCCTCTAGAACAGTGTTTCTCAAACTTTTAAAAAACCTCATGGCACACTTGAACCTATAGTTAAACTTCCACGACACACTTAAATTATGTTGATCAAAACAAAAGAGTAAGAAGTAAAAAAGTACACCTACTGTGCTCTGAACTTCTTTTGGAAATAATTTAATTAATGATCCTTAAAAAATTTCAAGCCACACCTAAGATCCTCTCATGGCACATTGGTTGAAAATCACCACTCTTGAAGCCAAGGATGTCCCTCAGCTGATAGCCAGCAAGAACCAGGGACCCCAGTCCCACAACAGCAAGGAACTGAATTACAACACAAGGTGACTGAGTTGAGAAGCTTATTCTTCCCCAGAACTTGCAGATGAGAGCCCAGGCAGGCTGATTCTATAACAGGTGCTCTGTGATACCTGAGCACAGACCACCATCAAACTCAACCCTGAATTCTGACTTAAGAGCTGTGTGTTGTTTTCAGCTGGTAAATTTGTGGCACTTTGTTACATAGCAATAGAAAATGAGCCCAGAAATATTATTCATTTGAAATCTTTGAAAAGGAGCATTCTTTTAAACTATGGAATATTGATTTTCAAGACATTGGTGGATAGATTTACATCTCAAAGGTAAGATTCTACCACAGCTAATGGTAGGTCTTAGAGACAGGGAATCGGGGTGATAGTTGCTATTACATTTTAATGTCCACCATGAATCTCTTCTCAGCTTTATATTTCTGGTAGGTGAAGAATGATAATGAGAAAGTCTCCCTACTCAAACACGTTTGCCAGGGTATTAAAAATGTCCTCCTGCCACGTCATGCCACCAGCCTATTTTAAATATCACTGTAGCCTCATTTTGGTTTTTTTTTTTACATATCAAGTCCTTTCCCTCCACCTTTTATTTAATGAAGTCTTATGAAGAAGTTTGTCCCAGAACAGGAAAACACCGAAAAATAAAGGACACTGAAAAAAAGTTTCCAAATCCTCAATTGACTTTTTTCAGCACCATTGACAAGCCAAGACAAACTGAGGGTCAAAACATTAAATTATAGTTATCTTTATGCAGGTGGAAGATTTCAAGGTTCTGGATGCAATTTTGAGGTCAAGAAAAATGAGGATCACATATTTGAAATTCAAATAGCTTAACTGGACATTTACTGAGTTTCTAGCAAAGATGAAAACACAGACCTTTATTGATACCCTACCCAAACATGGAACATGGTACCTTTTCAATTCTGTTTTCCTGAGATTTCTTAAAGTAGATGGTGGGAATTCCAAGTTCGGAGGCAGCGATCCACTGCAGAGTGGCTCGAAGCTCAGCATCAGGACACTCAGGCTCCAGGTCAAAGTTGATCACCAGCAGATTCCTCTGGTGGCTGGCTGGTCCCACTGGCAGTTCAGAGGCACGTTCTGAACACAGAACAACCACACCCTTACTCCCCTTTCCAAAGGGATATCCCAGACAATTGTGTGTCAAAATTATGGGAATGTGGCTTACCCTCTATGTTTTCTGACTGTCCTTTAAGAATCTCCTTTTCTTCTACTAATTCACTTTGGGAGAAAACAACAGTATACAGTTGGTAATATTTAGGAAGAGTCAGTGGTAAATGGAAGATGAGGTGATGGGTCTTACTGATCTAAAAGCTTTTGGATATCACTCTAGATTTGTCATTTTTGTGCAATAATGCTGGGGAAACACCCATGTGTCTGTTACGAAGGATTATTGGGTCTGCAATAAACACCCCTTCCTATAGCAATAACAGAAGGCCAGATAAACTTAATGATTTTAGTTAGGAAATTGGTATGGGAAGCCCTGTGTGATGGTGAAGCTTCTCTTCAACTTCCCTGCCCCTAAACCATCACTAGTCTTAACAGTCAAGGAGGGACCTTTTTCAGGTAACTAGTTCTGATTTGGGGATGTATCTTCCTCCTGTGTTTTTCTTGTCATTTGTGGGATCATGTTTCTATCTTGCCACAATGTTTTCCCCCCTATACTATGATAGCAACATAGGTTGCATTTTAATACAGAACATATTTTTACATATATGGTCCTCTGATCTGAAGTAAGAGCAAAGATGAGTTTTACAAATGTAACTGTATGGCAAAATATCTGAATTAATTAAAAATTCTCTTCTTTTAATTGGAGAAAAGTATAAGAAGGCTGGGAATGGTTTGGCAGTAAGAATCCAGAACTAAAGTCTTTCATTAGCTATGGTAATGTATGCTGTTGGAGGTGTTTTCATATGGTGTTTACTTATTAGAGAGCCTTGTACAAAGTGGGAGGACTCAGTCAATGCTTCCAAAGAGAGAACACATGGTCCACAAGTAAAATGACAATCTTGGGGAGACTGTGGTTGCCCCATACTTTTGTCCCATATTGATAAGAGTGCAGGTTCCCTTACAAACGGTGTCTTTTGATGATAAATGATTCGTTGTTATTCTCCATTACTGCTAAGACCTGGCAGTAAATTCCATTGTATTCCAGATGTTGAGAGAAAGAATATAGTCATGTTTCCATTCATAACTAATTATTTGTAGACATGACAGTTTTTTTTTTTGGAGACAGAGCCTCAAGTTGTCCCCCTGGGTAGAGTGCTGGCATCACAGCTCACAGCAACCTCCAACTCCTGGGCTCAAGCAAGTCTCCTGCCTCCGCCTCCCAAGTAGCTGGGACCACAGGCGCCCGCCACAACGCCCGGCTATTTTTTGGTTGCAGCCGTCATTGTTGTTTGATGGGCCTGGGCTGGAACCTGCCACCTTAGGTGTCTGTGGCTGGTGCCTTAGCCATTTGAGTCACAGGCGCTGAGCTGACATGCCAGTTTTTTAGAGTCTAGATTTTGTTTTGGATCTCCGTGTGAGTGACATGAGTGACATGACCAATGGTTGCTACAGTTTCTGCTATTCTGGATCTGCAGGAGAGTGAGTGTGGGAGGTGAAAGTCTTGGCCGTCTGTAAATAGAGATTTTCCTGCAGGTCATAGGCTCACACTGGTGAGAAGGATAGAAAACGTACCTAAACAAATATTTCCTGGAGGAGAAAAATAGATTTACCTCAGAGTAGTTTCTGTTGGTTTTATTTTTTGGTCCCCTTTAAAAAATGAAACAAACCCAAAAGCCGAGATAATGTGTAGGTTCATCTTGACTTGTGAATAATGGCAAGAAAGGATGGAGAGCGACTTCAACCACTGAGGAATATGCCTGATTAAACTGAAACGGAAATGCTGTCCATTCAGAAAGTGGTTGAAGAAACAGGTCAAGCAGGAATGATACCTGCTTACTATTTTTCTAAAATTTCAGAAATTTCCATATCACAAGCTAAGTCATAATAATCAAAAACATATTTCCATTCATGTAATTTCCCAGAGTCATCATAAACTCTAGATGTAGCCCTGACCCCGGGTTGCCCTTCTTTCTTGTGTCATATTTTGTGAGGTACGTATTGTGTTTCTCTAAGTGCTTTCTCCCTTTGATATTTCAGAAGTCCCTGTATTAGCGGGGTGCTGGTCACTAAGTGAGAATGACACATCTCCATCATGACAACTATTTGATATTTGACCCCTTTCATAGTAATACTCCCAGCTGTCTACATGTCAAGGAAAGCTGTTCACACTTAATTCTGTCGAAGCAACTATATTCTATAGTGAAGACCATTGAGTAGTCTCCTTTGATCGGTAGGGTACAAGTTAAATAGATTTTTGCTTTTTTTGTGTTCAAGTAGGTAAATACACTTCTGATTAAATTGCTAAGCTTTATCTGAAATGATTGTTCCATAGGGGGGAAGATTGGGAAAGCAGAAAGCAGGGGGTGGTAGGACGGGGCCTTCTCTTGGCCTGAAATCTTGCTCCAGTGACATGGAACCGTGGCAGTACAGACATGATGAACTCAGCGGTTGGGCACAACCTGAATGATCAAAATGGATTGCCAGATGGAATTGGAGTAGTGGTCTCACAATCACTGCATCTCAGTGGCTACTTACTTAATCATGGGAGAAGATGGCATGCTTTCCTGATAAATGTCCAGGTCCATAATGCCAAGACTGCTAGTGGCACTACTGTTGCCATTGCTGACAAAGCAAAAGTTTACATATTAATGCCCATCTCCACCCCTGGGCCATGCTGCCGCTGACACCGATGTTCCGTAGTTGTACCAGGTCCTTCCTTTAGTCCCCCAAAGAATATTGCTTTGTGTCCAGGACTTCTAAATTGATACCTATTTCTTACCAAATTAGGGGGAAACATAACAAGACTCAAGTCTAATAGGCTAAGCCAATAATAATGGGAAACAATAATTTATAATTTCTAAAATGATGTCACAACTGGTGGATCTTATCTGGGGGGTAACCAGCAGCATTCCTCCGTTCTGCTTCATCCGCTGAATATATTTATCTATCAGCAAGAGGGTTCTTGCTGCTGGGGTCAGTGCAGAGGTGAAGAAACTTCTGAAAATACTGGTTTGGGGAGATACCAGAATGCTTATCTGCCTGCTTCTTGGATTTTAATAGAAACTAGAGGGCTCAGGTTTTCCCTTTGCCATTCTGGAAATTTTCCTTAGGGACATAGGATTTCTTCCATAGGATTTTGTAGGATGTTCATTTGGCTTGTTTTTGCCATGGGACTACAGAATTTACAGGTACAAAGATGGGTAATGTCAAAATTTTACCAGTCCCTTATACACATATTATAATCTTCAAGAGTGGGCAACACTAGATACCTTTGCACTGTAGAGGAGAACCACATAGGGCATCATTTTTGCAGGCTGCCCTATCAGCATATTAGCCTGGCACTTACTGAAACACAGTAGGGTTTGAGCTAGTTTTCAGCCTTCATCTATGTCGTAAAATGGAATGTACCCAATTTCACCAAACCCACTGAATCTCCTCATACCTTCTCTACTTCCAATATTGCCTCTTCCAAGCAAGGTTGGAGTGGTGTCTTGTAGTGAGCCAGTCTTCCCTCAAAAATACCATGATTACCAACTAGACTCCTTCAATGTTAAATTCTTATCTTAGGTTTTGGATGGGCCACTGAATGTATTGACAGAGTAAAACATGAACACTCAAAGTTCTGCTGGAAATAATTAACACTAAAAATGTCTGCTGTTAAGTCCAAAGATTCAAGTTCTCTTTGCCTTTCATCTCCATCTTATAAGATTTCTCACTAGTTTTTGCAATTTTAGACAAATTGTTTAGCCTTGTGAAGTGTTCTTGAGTATAAACAGACTGAATTGCCAGAAATAAGACTTTCGAAGACCCATAGGATTCTAAATCTCACTTTCTGTGGACTTGCTGATCCAGTATCAAAGAAGATTTTGGGCAGAAACATAGAGATTCTTTTCAAAGTTCCACCTCACAGAGAAAAAAGTTATAGTTCATGTCTCCTGACTGGCTTCAGTCCTTCCAAATCTGATCTCTCCTATACTCCCCCCTAGCTTTTCCAGAAGAACAGTACAGAGGACAGGGGAAAGGAGTGACAGTCAGGCCGAACAATGCGGCACAGTGTGGAAACAATTGCCTCATATAAACCCAGCCTGTGTTGCATCTGAAGCACAAAAGAACCAGAGAGGAAGTATATAACACACAGGTGTTCCAGCAGCTCTCTTAGTTAACACGATAACTAAGAAAATGCCATGAAGGCTATGTTAACCAGTTTGGTGAAAATATTTCAAATTGTATATAAAACCAGCACACTGTACCCCATGACTGCATTAATGTACACAGCTATGATTTAATAAAAAAAAAAAAACCAACAAAACTTCACAGTTGTCATCATCAAAGGCACTAGCTGCAGCTTGCAGGGAGGGGGACACAGCTAATTATTAACCCTGGCCAAGGTAATTTAAGCAGTAACTAGGTATGTTATAATACCTCTCAGCATAAATCCTGACAGGCTGGGACTTTGACCTAAGGGAAGTTTCCTTTTTGTGTGCTCTCGACCCATTAGAGACCCTTTGCAGAGAAACAGTAAAATGCATTTGTGGAATCTGTATTCAGAACACTTTCCCTGGGAAGGCAAGTGAGGAGCTGGTACCTCAGGGATCGCTCACTGAGCTGCAGAAAGCTGCTTGTATCATCTGGGTTGTCATCCTCGTTGGCCAGCTGGGACCAGCTGCCTGTGCTCTCTTCGCTGCTGCTGGGAGGGTTGGGGAACCCATCTGGGGCTCTGGCATTTGGAGATACTTCAGCCTCTGGTATATCTCTGGCATCAAGGCTGTCACTGTAGACGGCAAGACATCATTACCAAGAGGGGAGGCACAAAATGAGACTTTTCATAGAGGTTGCTCTGGGTAAGCAGGATGGTATTGGACACAGGTGGACAGGTAGATTCTTTTTAGGCTGAGCCTTCTGCCGGTGCCCTGGGTCCTATTTGCCTTCTGAGGACCATTCTCCATCTGCTGGGTTTCTCATTTGTTCTATTGATCTCTTTCTACTGACTCCCTCCATTCATTTAAAAAACAAGTTAAAGCCCCGTGGCCTGCACAAAAAAGAATTACTGAGGGATGGTAAAAACAAGATACATAAAGCATTCTCCCCAGAGATTGAGATTCAGAGGTTCCTGGGAGGGAAGCCCAGGAATCTGTATTTTCACCGACCCCCTCTGGTGACTCTCACGCAAGTGGCAGATGTAGAAACACCCAGCCCAGTTAGCTGCTTTACGAAGTCATTTCTCCTACTAGGGTCTCTGTATTTTAAATTTGCCATCACCTTTTACTTTTTCCCTTCTCTCTGAAACCAGTGATTATACTAGCACCATCTTTCTGAATGAGTGCTTGCACTGTCAGACCAAGTAGCTCTCCAGTACTGTTTAACTCTTGCTCTGACAGGCCTTTGTCTTTCCTGAACACTCCCTTCCCCTGCCTCCCTGTGAATTTTGCCTCTCTGGCCCCCTCCTTACCTGAACCCGGTTCTCTGTTTTTCTTTAAAGGGTAGCTGCAGTCATCTCTGATTGACTCCCTGCCCTCGGTTCCACAGTCTGTTGCTATGTACTCACATCTACTCGCCTGTCTATAAAAATAGCTCTCAAATCTGGGCCTCAGCCAGGACCTTTCTTCCAGATTCTGGGGCTCCTTTTCTCTTAGTCTTCTGAATCTGTCCAGTCTGTCTTATTAACATCTCAAAATCCACATATCTAGAGAAAATTCTAATTCCCTTGCACCTTCTTCCTGTTACTAAGGGGTTGCTGTTACTAGCACGCTGTGCTGGTTAACTCTTCAAAAAGGACAGTCCTTAATAAATTTGGTTTTCTTTTCTAAAGTGTTGGGATTTTTTTTTTTTTTTTCAACATGATCAGGGAGGAAAGGGGAGAACAGATGCCATGGAAGAGACAGTATTTACTTAAATTCAAATGAAAGAAAATTCACTGATGACAAAGGGAAACAATATACATGTTGTTAACCCAAAATGTTGTTAACCCCCAAGTGATAATGAGGTTCACAATTCAGAAAAGGGAGCTCACAAAGGGGTGGCCATGCCTGGGGTGACCATTCTGGCAGGCTGGAAAGCAGGGCGCTGGGCCACAAGCCAGAAACATGTTGTTTAGAGACAGGGACAATGGGAACAGGAATTTAGACTGAGTGGAGTGGCCGAACATACATAACAAGCCATAGGAACTATGTGGGAGTCATGAACATGTAGGAAACGATAAATAAGCACCTGGCCTCTCTTGCTTTATATTTCTTTATGGAATCCATTCATTCAATGCAGGTGGGAAGCTCAGGATTTTATTTTTAGTTTGCAAAGTATAAATGAACCAAGGCCTGGACACAAAGGAGAGGTCTCCAAAATAATTTGTGCGCCTAGGTAAACAGTAATTTCCTGGACTAATTCCTCACTAAATTAGAACTTTCTGTTATTACAAATATCTGTCTCAAGATATTTCTTATTAAGTGAGTTAAATCTCAGTGATTGACATTGAACATCCCGATTAAAAAATGAGTCTGTCAGTGTATTTTACTTTATCTCAATTTCATGCTCTATTTAAAGTAAATCTCATGTTCCATGTCACATAACTTGGAATTGAGAATGAATAATCATTATCTGAAACATCGGTTTTCATTTTCTTTTGAAAGGAATTTGTAGTTTTGCTCATTTATTTATAAATAATGTACAAATTTGTTATGCAAATGTATAAAGATGGCTTCCCCACTTATTGTATAGTTCACACAGAGAGATTTAGGGGGCCTATGTTTTGTCAAATTCAGCGATGTAATCTCTGAGATCACAGGGACTTCAGAGGTTATCTAGTCCATAGTTTATTTCAGGGTTGACTCTTCGTATTCCATGTTCTATGGGTTTTGAAAAATGTATACTGACATATATCCACCATTATGGTATTATACAGAATAGTTTCACTGTCTGGCTTGGCAGCCATAGCACAGTGGTTACGGCACCAGCCACATACACCGAGGCTGCTCGGTTCAAACCTGGCCCGGGCCTGCTGAACAACAATGACAACTATAACAAAAAATAGCAGGGTGTTGTGGCAGGCACCTGTAGTCCTAAACTACTTGGGAGGCTGAGGCAAGAGAATCACCTGAGCCCTAGAGTTTGAGGTTGCTGTGAACTGTGATACCACAGCACTCTACCCAGGGTGACGTAGTGAGACTCTGTCTCCAAAAAAAAAATCCTCTTGTTTCGTCTATCAATCCCTCCTACTCCAACCCTTGGCGATCCTGAACTTTTTGCTGTCTCAATGATTGCCTTTTTTGAGAATGTCATATGACTGGAGTCATACAGCATGTAGGCTCTTAAGATTAACTGTTTAATAATATGAGTTTAAGTTTCTTCCATGTCTTTTTATGTCTTGATAGCTCATTTATAGTTTTTCAGTGCTTAATAGAATTCTATTACATGGATATACCATAGTTTATTCATTTGCCTTCCAAAAAATATCTTTGTTGCTTCCAACTTTTGGCAATTATTAATAAAGGTCCTACAAATATCTGTATGTAGATTTTTGTGTGAACATAAGCTTTTAATATACTTGGGCAAATATCAAGGGGCATGATTACTGGCTTGTATGGTAAAAGTTTGTTTAGTATTGCAAATTACTGTCAACTGTCTTCCAAAATAGTTGCTTCATTTGCATTCTCACCAGTGGTGAATGAGAAGTCTTACCGCTCCACATCATTAACAGCCTGTGGTGTTGTCAATGCTTTGGATTTGGGCCATTCTAACAGGTATGTAGTGGTGTCTTATTCTTATTTTGATTTGCAATTTCCTAATGACCTTTAGCTTTGAATGTCTTTTTATACACTTATGTACCTTCTGTATGTTTTTTTGGGAGAAGTGTCTGTTCATCTGTTTTGCTGATTTTTAAAGTTGTGTTTCTAACTGACAAACAATAATCATATATACTTAATGAGGTACAATGTCATGTTTTGTACCTGTATACATTGTAGAATGATCAAATCAGGGTAATGGCATATCTATCACCTTAAATATTTATCATTTCTTTGTGATTAGAACATTAAAATCTTCTGTTATGACTATTTAGGAATATACAGTATATCACTATTAACTATGGTCACCTTGTTGTGAGGAATGCAAGAATTCATACCCTTTTGTTTAACTATAACTTTGTACCTATTGACCAACATCTCCCCCTTCCCAGTCTCTCTCAGCTCTTGGTAACCACCATTCTACTCTCCACTTCTATGAGTTTGAGTCAACATTTTTAGATTTCACATATAAGTGAGATTTTATGATAGTTGTATCTTTGTCCTTGTCTTATTTCACTTAACATGCTGTCTTCTAGGTTCATCATGTTGTTACAAATTACAGAATTTCCTGGTTTAAAAATATATTACAAAGCTATAATAATTAAAACAGAATGACACTGGCATAAAAACAAACACATTGACCAATGGAATAGGATACAGAGCAAAGAAGTAAACCTACACACCTATGGTTGACTACTTTTTGACAACAGTGTTTAGAAGACACAAGGGGGAGAAGGTAGTTTTTTCATACCTAGTATTTGGGGAAGCTAGATAGTTACATGAAGAAAAATAAAAATGGACCCTTATCTCACCCCTTATACAAGAATCAATTAAAATGGATTAAAGACTTAAACATAAGACCTGAAACTACAAAATGCTAGATGAAAGAATAGCTGAAAAGCCACTCAAAGTGCCCAATTTTAAAACAGGTTGTACATTTTTTATTGTTGAATTTTAAGAGTTCTTTGTGTATTTTGGATAGTAGTGCTTTGTCAGATATATCTTTTAGAAATATTTTCTTTCACTCTGTGGCTTGTCTTCTCATGTTTTTCATGGTGTTTTTCACAGAACAAAAAATTTTAATTTTAATCAAGTTTAGCTTATAAATTCTTTCATGGATTATGTCTTTGGTGTACCTAAAAGTCATCATGATACTCAAGGTCATCTACATTTTCTCCTACATTATCTTATAGGAAGTTTATAGTTTTATGTTTTATATTTAGGTCCATGTTCCATTTTGAATAAATTTTTGTAAAGAATTTGAAGTCTGTCTTGTCATTCTTTTGCATATATGAATGTTCAGTTGTTCCAGCACCATTTATTTAAGAGACTATCTTTTCTCTATTGTATTGCCTTTGCTACTTTGTCAAACATCAGGTGACTGTTTGAGTGAGTTTATTATTGGGCTCTCTATTCTGATCATTGATCTATTTTTGTTTTTTCTCTTGCCATTACCACACTGTCTTGATTATTATATCTATATACTAAATCATGAGATTTTCTAATTTTGTTCTTTTTTTTACAAACTTTTTTTGACTAGTTTGGGTCTTTTACCTCTCCAAATAAACTTTAGAATCAGCTTGTTGATATCTGAAGGGATTTTCATTGGGATTGTGTTGAAAGTATAGATCAAGTTTGGAAGAACTTAAACTCTTAACAATATTGAGTCTTGTATTCATGAATAGTTTTATTTTTGAAGCTATTTTCTCTGGACAAAGTATACTAGGTGAACATTTTTTTTCCCCTTCAGCATAGTAAAAATGTCATTTGTCTTACATCTTATACTATTCATTTGTGCTCCTCAGTATGCGATGTTTCTTTTTATATCAGCTATTTTTAAAACTATTTATCACTGGTTTTTAATAATTTTATTATGATGTACTTTAATATGCTTTTCTTTTTGTTGATTCTGCAATTATAGTTAATTATACTTCTTACTTTGCAAGTTTATAACTTTCATCAAATCTCATATTCATGTGTACCTTTAAATTTTTTGGAGTCCTTATATGCTAATTTCATTTTCTCTATAATTGCTGAATAGTTTTTATTGATTATTATATTTCTGGTTTGTTAAGTGTTGGATTTTGTTGTCTTTCTTTAAACAATGTTGGATTTCATTCTAGGTTAAATCATGTTCAGTTCAGTTTGATCTTTTCACTGCTTGCTGTTAAGTATATTTGAAAAAGTTTAGATAAACTTTTACTTTTAGGGCTAGTTTTGTCCTGATTCTATGGTATAATGATTTTAATATCTCTCCTAAATGCTATGTATGTTTAACATGCATCCTTTACTTCTGCTAATTGGAACTTAACATCACCCAGTCCTGTGTGAGCTTGTGGAATTATTCAGTTCACAGCTCTCTCACTTCATGGAGTCGTAGTTATTTATGCATAACTCAGTATTTAGCAGCAGGTTAATGGGGGCCCTGTGCAGATTTGTGAGCTCTTTCTCAGCATATTTCCCTCCAGTATCTGTTTCCTCAACTTAGAGTAACCACTCTATGTCACCTTGAACAAGTCCCTAAGCTCTGCTCAGATTTTTCCCATTTGGCACTGATGTCTACAAAAAGAATCTAGGCAGAAACGGGGGGGCAATTATTGGGGTACCATGTTTGTTTTCCTCCTTTCAGTGTGTTGCTTATTGTTTTTATATATTTTGCCTCTCATAGAATGAACACTCAAATATTTTGGGCTAAATAATTTTTTCTTCAAGCAAATATAAGTTAATACACAACTTAAAATATGTTTCTTAACCATAAAAATTATGTCAGACAGTATTTTTTAGTAATAATTATGAATACATGCCTCAGTGGGTAGCCTAAAAATATCTTTAAGATAGAACACCTTCAAGCAGAATTCAGAATGCATATGTCTTATTCTTGTGTTTCACAAGAAGTGTTTCACAGAAGATTGAGTTTTGTATTTAGTTATTTTGACTAATAATATCCATGATAACATCTCAGAGCTTAGAAAATGTAAGCTAAATGCAGCTAATTATCTCCCTGGCAAATCTTAGAAATTCTCTTGGTTTAATAAAATTGTCATACTGTTCATGACTAAATTCTCTTGGAAAAGAGCTCCTGGAATAAAGGTAACTATAGACCCTAACCCCAAACAACAAAGACAATACCTACAATAAGGTAAACATTTACTCAAGTATTGACAACAGGATGGGCACTAAGTTAGGAGATTTATGTGCATTTCTTTATTTAACACTTAAAAATCCTCATAGGTTGTACTTATTATTTTCCCACCAACATGTGAGTAAAGCAAGGTAAAGAGATTGGAGACTTCTTCAAGGTGACAGAGTTACAAGGCTAGTTCTAAGTCCATGTTCTAACAATTCTTTATATTGATACACATAAAACATATTAAATATTTATTCCTTAAGTTTTAGAAGCAGATCCAGGTCTTGAGTTTCCAGAGCAGATTATTCTACATTCTTTTATGTTTTATTAGTGGACAACCAAATCAGAACTCTGTATCATGAGTGGAGAAAATGTGTTCTTGGGTCATTATATGGAACACAAATCTAAATCAGTTGGAGGCTTAATTTAAATATTTTTCTGAATTCTTTTTGAAATACCCCTGGGCTGGACCTATTTTTAGGATAGTATCAGTGAGATTTAATTCAAAATTGTATAATGAAGTTTATTCAGCTTCAGTGAAAATCACAATTTGATTTGAGCCCACAGACACAAATCTTATTGGACTACCAGTTTATGAATGCGCCCTGAGTAGGTCACCTTTTTGTCTAAAAAATTTCCTCTGGGTTATGATCTCTGTGTTTAAGCAGACTCTACATCAGGTACCTAGATTCTACAAGGGTTTTCCATTTGCTTGTATATCAAGTTTAAGGTAATCCTACACAATGGCTATTTTGTTTCTTTAACTCTTAGATCACTTTTTAAAACTTGTAATCCTCCATACTACCTGGATCCAAGTCTTGAGTAAATATTTTCTACAGCTGGAGAAGGACTGGTATATACAAACTTGTCTTTGGGGTCAGCTCAGCCTATTTCATCTGATTTTACTGTGTGTAATTGTGGTTGTTCATTTTCATGTTTCATGTTTTCTACCTGTTGAACTCTTCCAGGGTCTCATCCAGTAGCAAAGTTAAGTTCTTAGTTCTAAATGGCTAAGGAAACAGTACTGAGATTCACTTCGACTATGCACCAAACACATCTAACCACAACTGTAAGTGATCTGAGGCCCTCTCCTAGGGAGCCCTGGAATCTGCAGGTGGAGCGTTTCTGTTTCCCTAGGGAGCTGCTGAGACATGATGAAGTCTGAGTTCAACTTGTCTGCAGCTAAACATTTAGAAATCACAGGCCCTTTCTAAGTAATAAACAATAGGCATATGTCTCAGAAAAGACAACATAGGCTCTCTTTCAAATGTGTTTTCCAAGGCCAGAGGCTTAATTATTGATTTTGTTTATCTGTTTTGGTTAACCTGAACTTTAGTCCAAAAATAAAGAAATGATACAATGGTCTCATAATCAGGAATCTGATGAATTTTCTACAGAAGATGTAAGTTGTAAAAGGAATTGACACTTTTTAAAGTAGCCTAAGAGAAATAATTACCTTGCCTCAAATACAAATTGTATTGTTAACTGCACTACAATTTTCTGGACAAGAAATGTTGCAATAACAATACTCCAGTGTTGCTTTGCCAGAATTTGCATCTGAAGAGTCAGCCTTAGTGGAATATGGTGTTTTGCATCTAAGAGTCAGCCTTAGTGGAATAAGACAACAACAACAAAAAACCAAAACAAAATAAAACAAAACTTAAAAGAAGAGATACTAGGGTGAAGAAAAATGAGAGAAGAGAAAAGTAATGTCAAAATATTTAATGTCAGGCCAGGCACTGTGGATCCTGCCTATGATCCTAGCACTCTGGGAGGGGGAGGTGGGCAGATTGGCTGAGATAAGGAGCTGGAGACCAGCCTGACCAAAAGCAGGACCCCAAATAGCCAGGCATTGTGGAAGGTGCCTGTATGTGGGAGGCTGAGGCAAGAGGATCACTTGAGCCCAAGAGTTTGAGGTTGCCGTGAGCTTTGATGCCATGGCACTTTACCAGAGGTGTCAAAATAAGACTCTGCCTCAAAAATATATATATTTAAATGTCAAATTCCAATACTAAAATTTAGTTTAATTTTTGTACTTTCAAATGAACAAGTTGGTGTCATTAGTCATTATTATTTGCTTGAAAAGTGCATGAATTAATTTTAAAATGTAGCAAATCACAGATTAATTTTAACAGACACAATGATACTTCCCTTCAGTTATATAAATGAATTCATTTTGTTCTGGAGATTTACTGTCAACTTTTTATTGTGAGTGCACATTAACTCAGGTCATCATTTCTTTTCCCCTCAGGAATTCATTTCTTGCCTTGGTAAAATCCCTTTTCATCTAAGACTTAGAATAAATACTAATAAGATGTAAATTCCCGTCGCATGCAGGCTCTCTGGTCTAACATTCACTCACCCATGGTTTCCACAGGTGCTCACAGCGGCATCTTCACCTCTCACAGTATCTGGGACTTTTTCTTCATTCACACGATCTTCTGCTTCCTTCAGGGGGCTGCTTTTGGAAAGGAAGTGTTCAGTTTCCCCAGCACAGGCTTCTCTCTGATCTGTTTCAATCTGAATCAAAGGCACTTCCCTTGAGCAAAGTGATTGTCTAGTGTGGTTCGGAGGGACAGCATCGCAGCACGAGGAAGCTTCCTTTCTGCAGTCCAAACTGTCGTGGCTTGTAAGAGGAGCGGCTTGGCTTGGAGATGACACTGAGAGATGTTTGCTTTCAGTAGCAGAGTCTTTCCTCGGGTAACCCCCAGACTCCTGAACCCGCAGGGCTGGCCCGCTGCACACCCTGCCGGCAGCTGATTGATTTGCACACCTCTGCCCTTGAAAGGTGCCCGAAGTAGGCTCAGCAGCAGCTGGCGCCGAGTCATCCACGATGATTTTGTTCTTGCGCATGAGGGCCTTAATTGAGCTTGCCCACGTTTCGTGAATTAACATGTTAGTGATGTGATCAGTCCCACCTCTCCGATACAAGCAAGAGTCTGATTTGCAGAGACCTGACGAGGAGGCGCCACTGACCTGCTGTACGTTGAGGAAATCTTGCGGGCAGCTCTGAGCAAAGCCGTCTAAGGAGTTGGCTTTGATGGGTGCACTGACTGTTAACCCGGCACAGGAGGACCTGCTGTCTGGCACGGACGACTGTCTGTAACACAGTGGGGATCGCAGAGAGGGAGACAGTAAGCCCGCCGTCCAGTCCTGGCTGCTGCGTCTGGAGGAGGTGCTGTCTCTGCCGTCCCTCTCCATGTCCCTCAGCATGTACCTATAGAATTCCTCGGTGATGCTCTCTGTGCTGGACTGCTTAGAGGGACAGCTCGGCCTCACGTCCAGGTGGTCGCTTTTCCGGCATGCCTGTTGTATGGCCGAGCTCAGAATGCTGCTGGCGTTCTTGCCGGCGTAGTAATCCAGCAGCAACTCAAATCCTCTCCCTTCGCTTTCCATCTGGTTCACCATGAACCTGGAAAACTCATCCGTGATGCTCTCGCAGCTGGACTGTTTGGAGACAGAGCTGGCCCTGCTGACTGGTTGGCTTAAGGTGCTCGTGAGCCCCAGGCTGCTGATGTAGGCCCTGGCCTCCAAGTCCTCCTCGGGGATGCTTTCGCAGCTGGACGCCTTCAGCCGGCTCCACCTGTCGCCACTGCCCAGGAACCGACTCCGGGGGTAGCTCTGGGCTTGCCACACAC